GTCCTGAAACTGCAGAAGGCAAATTTTTGCAGCTGGAAGAACGTGCTGGATTCGGTTGGCCTCGAAACGGATGAGTACGACTGCGAATAGCTATTGACCGTCCGTTTCTTACGGTAAAATCTTTACTGATATACTGTACAAGCGTTTAAAAGAACAGTGTTATGAAGAAAGTCAGAATGAAGGAGGATGGGAGTTTGAAGTCGAGCCTGGAAAGTTATCTGGCGTTCGCAGAAGGTGAATTTGCCTCTGAGAGGAACAGCATTGCTCAGAAACGGCGTATGATGGTGCTGCATGGTTTGATCCTTGAGGTGTTTCGAACAAAGTTATCTAAATTAGGAAACGAGCCTGAACTTTTGGCTGTTGTCGAAGGCTTATGCAAAATTAAACGTCATTCGAATACACGCCGTCAGGATTCGCCGCTGGATCACCATCTAATTACAAAGCTCAGAACCTATGCGGTGCAAGAGAAGGCACATCATTTAGAAAGTGTTGTTCAGGAACTGATGGCCAATGTTACGGTAACACATTCATTAGAAGACCAGCAACAGGTCTGTGAAGAGGTGATATTTCCAGAGATTGAAGCATTGGATTCCTTTGAGGGAAGGCAACAAGTCTGCCAAGCGCCTCCAATGATCCCTGAACTAAAGCGAGTAATTGACGAGCTGACTGTTGTCGATACAGAAAAAGAACCGAAGGTTGATAGTAGCGCCGGTGCCTGTAGTAGAAATGACAGTTGCTTATGCGTAGTATCTTACAAATTGAAAAGGAACGACGGTGTTCTAACGAACTGTATGGATTTTTCTCCAGACTTCCGGTACCTATGCTGCGGCTACGACGACTGCAGTCTTAACCTGTGGCATTTGTCACCTACGACTCAGAATCCTGTCTCCATCCAGCAAGATCCGCCATACAAATTATTTCGTATCCACGGTGGACCGCTGTTCGATGTTAAGTTTCTGAATGGTAGTGAAAGTGGGCTGCTATCCGCATCGACCGACACCTTCGTCCGTCTGCTGGACTTTCGTCGAGGT